ATGGCTCCACACTGCTGTGTTTGAATTTTTTGACATATGTGTTTATGATTGTTAGTTTCTAATTTTGGGCCTCCCATAGTGCTGCTGCCAGGCCCCTAATCTGCCATGGGCCCCATATACCGCCCTCCTCATGCTGCTGCCAAGGTCCAAGTCTGCTGGTGTGTTAAAATTTTTGACATAGGGTGCAGGCAGATTACGGGCCTCACATAGCTGCTGCCAGGCCCCTAATCTGCCATGGGCCCCTATATACCGCCTCCTCATGCTGCTGCCAAGTCCAGAGTCTCTCATGGGTCCCTGTACGGCCTCCCATTGCTGCTGTCTCCATCGCCACACTCTGCTGCCATGTGCCACTTTCAGGTCTCTTCACACTGCTGGTGTGTTAAATTTTTTGACATAGGGTGCAGGCAGATTACGGGCCTCACATAGCTGCTGCCAGGCCCCTAATCTGCCATGGGCCCCTATATACCCCGCCTCCTCATGCTGCTGCTGCCAAGTCTAGAGTCTGTCATGGGTCCCTGTACGGCCTCCCATTGCTGCTGTCTCCATCGCCACACTCTGCTGCCATGTGCCACTTTCAGGTCTCTTCACACTGCTGGTGTGTTAAATTTTTTGACATAGGGTGCAGGCAGATTACGGGCCTCACATAGCTGCTGCCAGGCCCCTAATCTGCCATGGGCCCCCTATATACCGCCTCCTCATGCTGCTGCCAAGTCCAGAGTCTCTCATGGGTCCCCTGTACGGCCTCCCATTGCTGCTGTCTCCATCGCCACACTCTGCTGCCATGTGCCACTTTCAGGTCTCTTCACACTGCTGGGTGTTTAAATTTTTTGACATAGGGTGCAGGCAGATTACGGGCCTCACATAGCTGCTGCCAGGCCCCTAATCTGCCATGGGCCCCTATATACCGCCTCCTCATGCTGCTGCCAAGTCCAGAGTCTGTCATGGGTCCCTGTACGGCCTCCCATTGCTGCTGTCTCCATCGCCACACTCTGCTGCCATGTGCCACTTTCAGGTCTCTTCACACTGCTGGTGTGTTAAATTTTTTGACATAGGGTGCAGGCAGATACGGGCCTCACATAGCTGCTGCCAGGCCCCTAATCTGCCATGGCCCCTATATATACCGCCTCCTCATGCTGCTGCCAAGTCTAGAGTCTCTCATGGGTCCCTGTACGGCCTCCCATTGCTGCTGTCTCCATCGCCACACTCTGCTGCCATGTGCCACTTTCAGGTCTCTTCACACTGCTGTGGTGTGTTAATTTTTTGACATAGGGTGCAGGCAGATTACGGGCCTCACATAGCTGCTGCCAGGCCCCTAATCTGCCATGGGCCCCTATATACCGCCTCCTCATGCTGCTGCCAAGTCCAGAGTCTCTCATGGGTCCCTGTACGGCCTCCCATTGCTGCTGTCTCCATCGCATCCACACTCTGCTGCCATGTGCCACTTTCAGGTCTCTTCACACTGCTGGTGTGTTAAATTTTTTGACATAGGGTGCAGGCAGATTACGGGCCTCACATAGCTGCTGCCAGGCCCCTAAATCTGCCATGGGCCCCTATATACCGCCTCCTCATGCTGCTGCTGCCAAGTCCAGAGTCTCTCATGGGTCCCTGTACGGCCTCCCATTGCTGCTGTCTCCATCGCCACACTCTGCTGCCATGTGCCACTTTCAGGTCTCTTCACACTGCTGCTGGTGTGTTTAAATTTTTTGACATAGGGTGCAGGCAGATTACGGGCCTCACATAGCTGCTGCCAGGCCCCTAATCTGCCATGGGCCCCTATATATACCGCCTCCTCATGCTGCTGCCAAGTCCAGAGTCTCTCATGGGTCCCTGTACGGCCTCCCATTGCTGCTGTCTCCATCGCCACACTCTGCTGCCATGTGCCACTTTCAGGTCTCTTCACACTGCTGGTGTGTTTAATTTTTTGACATAGGGTGCAGGCAGATTACGGGCCTCACATAGCTGCTGCCAGGCCCCTAATCTGCCATGGGCCCCTATATACCCGCCTCCTCATGCTGCTGCCAAGTCTAGAGTCTCTCATGGGTCCCTGTACGCCTCCCATTGCTGCTTGTCTCCATCGCCACACTCTGCTGCCATGTGCCACTTTCAGGTCTCTTCACACTGCTGGTGTGTTAAATTTTTTGACATAGGGTGCAGGCAGATTACGGGCCTCACATAGCTGCTGCCAGGCCCCTAATCTGCCATGGGCCCCTATATACCATACCGCCTCCTCATGCTGCTGCCAAGTCCAGAGTCTCTCATGGGTCCCTGTACGGCCTCCCATTGCTGCTGTCTCCATCGCCACACTCTGCTGCCATGTGCCACTTTCAGGTCTCTTCACACTGCTGGTGTGTTTAATTTTTTGACATAGGGTGCAGGCAGATTACGGGCCTCACATAGCTGCTGCCAGGCCCCTAATCTGCCATGGGCCCCTATATACCGCCTCCTCATGCTGCTGCCAAGTCCAGAGTCTCTCATGGGTCCCTGTACGGCCTCCCATTGCTGCTGTCTCCATCGCCCACACTCTGCTGCCATGTGCCACTTTCAGGTCTCTTCACACTGCTGCTGTGTGTTAAATTTTTTGACATAGGGTGCAGGCAGATTACGGGCCTCACATAGCTGCTGCCAGGCCCCTAATCTGCCATGGGCCCCTATATACCGCCTCCTCATGCTGCTGCCAAGTCCAGAGTCTCTCATGGGTCCCTGTACGGCCTCCCATTGCTGCTGTCTCCATCGCCACACTCTGCTGCCATGTGCCACTTTCAGGTCTCTTCACACTGCTGGTGTGTTAAATTTTTTGACATAGGGTGCAGGCAGATTACGGGCCCTCACATAGCTGCTGCCAGGCCCCTAATCTGCCATGGGCCCCTATATACCGCCTCCTCATGCTGCTGCCAAGTCCAGAGTCTCTCATGGTCCCTGTACGGCCTCCCATTGCTGCTGTCTCCATCGCCACACTCTGCTGCCATGTGCCACTTTCAGGTCTCTTCACACTGCTGGTGTGTTAAATTTTTTGACATAGGGTGCAGGCAGATTACGGGCGGCTCACATAGCTGCTGCCAGGCCCCTAATCTGCCATGGGCCCCTATATATACCTAGCCTCCTCATGCTGCTGCCAAGTCCAGAGTCTCTCTCATGGGTCCCTGTACGGCCTCCCATTGCTGCTGTCTCCATCGCCACACTCTGCTGCCATGTGCCACTTTCAGGTCTCTTCACACTGCTGTGTGTTAAATTTTTTGACATAGGGTGCAGGCAGATTACGGGCCTCACATAGCTGCTGCCAGGCCCCTAATCTGCCATGGGCCCCTATATACCGCCTCCTCATGCGCTGCTGCCAAGTCCAGAGTCTCTCATGGTCCCTGTACGGCCTCCCATTGCTGCTGTCTCCATCGCCACACTCTGCTGCCATGTGCCACTTTCAGGTCTCTTCACACTGCTGGTGTTTAAATTTTTTGACATAGGGTGCTGGCAGATTACGGGCCTCCCATGGCTGCTGCTGCCAGACATGTAATCTGCCATGGGCCCCCGTACCGACCTCCTCATGGTGACGTTGAGTGCAACAAGGAATGTAATTCAACCCTACATATGTTAGACCCCCGCCTTTACGAACAGCTAAAGGCCATCACAGATTTCCTGATGTTAAAAGCGGATAAAGGTACTCCCTGTGTAACTTAGATGTCACCATTGTCAGCTCATGTGTGACACCTGCGCTTGCTCAGGCCCTTTGAGGAGGCCACGCTATTCGTGAGTCGGCAGGACTATGGATGAATGAGAGGTCAAATCGGCCATGGGCCCCGTACCGCCTGTGCAATCACAGCGCTGATGCTGGTCCCACAGTGTGACCTGGGTCCCTGTACGGCCTCCCATTGCTCTCCACTCTGCCATGTGCCACTTTGAAATCTCCTCACACTCCTGCGGTTGTCCATTTTGTCATAGGGGCTGGCAGATTACAGGCCTTCCATAGGTGCCACCAACAAGCCCCATATCGGCCATGGGCCCCCGTACCGCCTGGTCACGCTGCTGCTGGGCCCACAGTGTGACCTGGGTCCCTGTACCACCCGTGTGCATAGCTCCCATTGCTCCCACTCTGCCATGTGCCACTTTCAGGTCTCCTCACGCACCCTGCTGGTTTCCATTTTGTCATAGGTTTGCTGTATGGCCTCCCATTGCTGCTGCCATCCACCGCCCCCACACTGTGGCTCCAAACACTGGTTTTGGGCCCCGTGACTGGCCAAAGGAGTGAAGTGTGCAGGTGATTCTAAGATCGACGGCACTCATCCTGCATGTCATCATAACTGACACAACAGTATTATTTCTAGCTTCCCCACAGACGCCCAAGGGCATTTAAATTAAAGGTACAGTGTTCTGCGCACTGATAATATTAAGTCTCTCTGAAGCCTAGAAACACCTCCTTTTTTTAAGTTAAATTCACAGCGAATTTATTGACTAGGAACTCGAATATTGTCCACGAATCGCCGAATATCGAACGAATTTTTCATTTCCACTCATGCTCTAGTAGGCCTACGCAAGCAGCGAGCATGCTATGGCCATTTGGCCAAGGAATGCGAGGGACTCCCTGCCTCCATCCTCCACAGCATACTGTGCCAGGTGCGTCTCACCCCTCTGTCTCTTCGGCACTCCTCCTGACCAGATGCTCCTGCTCCTCCACTCCTATGACAAAATCCGCTGAGTGGAAAAACCACCCATGTCACTCAATAATTCCTGAGCCCAATGTCCTCCTCTACACCTCCTCTTGGCCTGTCCTGCCCCCACAGGGGCCATGCAGCGTTGAGAGCTCTAATGTGCGCCACCCGTCTAAAACCCTGACCAGGCCCATTGTTAACAGCATTTGACCGGCACATGGACGTGCAACAGAGGAATGACGTCGTTCATCCATCCCATAGTCCTGCCGACTCACAATAGCGTTGCCCTAGCCCTCAGAAGGGGCCTGAGCAAGCAGCTATGGTGTCAGATGAGCCCAATCTGCCAGCACCCTATGTCAAAAAGGGAGTACCTTTACACCGCTTTTAACATCAGAACCTGAAATGGCCATGGCAAGTGTCGCTGTTCAGTAAGCAGGCGGCCGTACATCGGCCCTGTAGGGTTGAATTCGCACCTTGTGCACGTGGCAGCAGCATGAGGAGGCGGTATATAGGGGCCCATGGCAGATTAGGGGCCTGGCAGCAGCTATGGGAGGCCCGTAATCTGCCAGCACCCTATGTCAAAAAATTCAACACACCAGCAGTGTGTGAGGAGACCTGAAAGTGGCACATGGCAGAGTGTGGCGATGGAGACAGCAGCAATGGGAGGCCGTACAGGGACCCATGAGAGACTCTGGACTTGGCAGCAGCATGAGGAGGCGGTATATATAGGGGCCCATGGCAGATTAGGGGCCT